GTGGACAATGGAACGGTGATACGGGCAGTCCGGGACAGCCCGGAGACCCTAATGGTCAACCAGGACAACCTGGAGACCCTAATGGTCAGCCTGGACAAACTGGAGACCCTAATGGACAGCCTGGCCAACCTGGAGACCCTAATGGCGAACCTGGATCACCGGGGTCACCTGGAAGCCCTGGATATCCCGACGAACCTGGATACCCTGGAAGCCCTGGATATCCCGGCGAATCTGGATATCCTGGAAGCCCTGGGTCACCTGGATCACCTGGATCACCTGGTTCACTTGGTACACCAGGTAGTCCTGGCACACCAGGAACCTCTGGAACTCCTGGTACTTCTGGCCTCTCAATCCGATGATCTCGCAATGATCGGTCCAATAATTTGATCTGATGAAAATTAAATCGAATAGAATGGATATCGCGATTCTAGCTAAACAATTCTCGGTCTCGTAGAACAGGAATCATTGTTCGGGGTTGTTCGCCAGTTTATTCAAATATTTACACGCAGAGATGTCCACGTAGAAAAATCGATACATTCTGTCGCCTCGTGGACCGTCATGGAAAAATAAATAAAGCCGTGTCAGGACGCATTGTTCGTGGGTCGCGGAGGCCCCGAATAACGACGAAATTCCCGATGAATTCGAGAGTTGCGACGCGACGCGACGTAACGGTGTTTCCCACTTTGTACAAAACAATTTGTCCGTGACGAGATTCGCGGGCCGCCACGCGTACACAATTTTTACCTTCGCACCCTTCTCGCGCGGGATTGAACAGGAGAACTGAACGCAGCCGTAATGTAATTAGCACGCGAGAACAGGAAGCTCGTCGAACGGACAGCGCGGCGCGTTGTAAAAGCGTTCGTATCCATAATTGTAGGCGGGACAATTGAGCGGAACGAATGCGCGAAATGTTTTAGAAAAAGTCTGTCTCTCTATCCTAGGAGTTCGTGATTCGTTATCGCCGCCATTAACGGCCACGATCGCGCGCGAATCGTTGCGGAACCACGAGCTACGCCACGAAGAAACAGCCTCGTTGGCGTACCCCGTTCGCGATTAACACACAGAAGCACGACGAAATTGGAAAAATACACTTACCAGACTGTCGAGAGCTCTGGGCCACCTCGAGGAAGCTATCGTACGGGATTAAGGATCTAAATTGAATCGATCGGATCCGATCGGGAAGCTAGACTTCGGCTGTCAGTCGATTAGCGATTCGTTTCCCCATTTCTACGATGTAGATAATCGAAGAGTTATTTTTTTTTTGCTCGATTACTATTACACCTATATCGATTTACCTTCCTGTGGCCAACCGGGCGCCTGCATATTTCCAGCATTTTTTTTCCAACGATTTTTACGGTTTCGCGAATGGAACCGTGAAATTGGTTTGTTGGAGCCCCGGTTCGCGGAAATTGTTTCGTTTGCGAATCAAAATTTCGTATCCTGAATTTGTTCACATGCGTACGAAATCTTTCCTCGATTATTTTACGAACAGATCGCGATGGGTCCGCAGAGGAAAGATGAAAAATCGTCTGCCTCGGAAAAGGGATTGGAATGAATTATCGGTTGCCCACAGGAGAGTCAATTACGCGACAGCGCTCGCCTAGGAGCGCGTCCATCGAATGATATGACGAGAAGAGATGCGATTAGTAGTATCCCTATTTTACAATTAATTTTACAACGTTCGATCCGCTGCACGCGTTGCTTCCTCGAACGTACTCTAGTTTCGAATTACTTCCTAAAGCTTGCGCGCGTCGATAGACGAACGAACACGCTCGATCGGCGTCTTGCACTTAATTAATGCCCCGTCGATTATGGGAAACAGTTTCGATGCGCCCGCCGATTGAAACGAACAGAAACGGCATTGCTCCAGGAATCGTGCTTTTCGTGCTCCCTATGCGCGCCCGAGTCCTTTTTCATTCGAATCTGTCCGTCGACCGCGTTAATGGATCAAGAACGAAAAACGAACAGCACATTTTTCTATGCAAATTCAAGCCGCCGCGCTTCGAAACGCGCACGGAACGACTCTGCCGGAACGCTATCTCGCCGAAGGATTTAATTAAATGCACATTGTTATATACGATCAGTCCGACAATTTTCGTGGTTGCCCCCGAAAACCATGCAATAACGTAGATGAAAATCACTCGCGATGCAAAACTCGTCAAAGATATTCGACGCATTTTCAGCGACCATTGTTCGCGTTCACAGAGCGAAAACGATCCTCCTGGTCCGCGCGGCTACCAACACGCTTCATCGCACAAACATCTCGCTCATTCCGGAGAACGAAGTCCACGTGCAACACGTGCGCGTTTTCGACAAACAAATTCCACGGGGTACATTGTTTGAGAATGCACCAAAAAAGTCGCGCCGCAAACATTTTTCCGGCGAAACCTCGGCCTGGAAAAAGCACGCGCGAGCGAATTATTTCGAGAATGAAATTCAAGCGCAACGTTACAACATTCCGCCGCATATTTCAAGGGTCGAGTTTCGCAAAACGAGCAGACCGAACCTTTCCGAATCTTCTTATCGACGATTTCTCGGTCGAAACTCGGCGTTCCTTGAATTTCGCCGAGTAGATTTACCCTTCGTTCCCTAAATCCGAGCGTCGGCTGTCAAAGAAAATGCGTCCCCGAATATTTTGCCGAGTTTGGCATCCCGTGGAAGCCTTATTGCGATCCTCGGACGTTCTTCGAGGGATCGTTCCGCGTTACTTCCGATTTCCAGCGCGGCTGAAAGGATTCGCCTAGGCTAAAACGAAAGTTTCGGTCCCTCGGCGTAACTTCTGAATTAAGGAGCCGAGATTCGCGGCGTCCTGGGTTCCGATGGACAAGGGCCGCTCCTTCCGGGGCTGAAACTTTTTCCCTGGCAGCTCGCAGAGACCTCGCCTTTTCTTCGCTTTTCTCTCACGCTCTCGTATTTCCTCCCGTTAGCGCTTTACCTGCGAAATAGCTGCCGTCTGACGTGGGCCGGCCACGACGGAAGAAGAATCAAGTCCATCTGAAAGCAGACGCGTTCGAAATGGGGCGGAATAGAAACGGCTCGATTCCGGCTTTACCCGGCCACCCACGCAAAGCCTGCGTCCGCCGTTTTCGGGACCGGTGTCCATCGAGTGAACGCGTGGGCCACGATCGCCCCTCGCGATACACCTTTGTCCAGGCGAGCCACGTACAGCCTTCGCCAAAAGCATCGACATTCGCCTAAAATATTGTATTCGTCACCGGGACCGGCAGAAGAATACGTCTGGACACCTCATAAAACGGAATAACCCATCGAAGATTGATCCAAACGATTTGAATTTGTTGAAGGGCTCTATCGGATGATAGAAGAGCTACTTTTATGAATAATGCATGAAAACATTTTTCTAAAAATAACACTTCGGTGAAAAGAGCTGCAAAGAATTAATTTTCCTTATTATTTTTGTCGTTCCACCCATTTGCTACTTCCATAAAAATTTTTTCAGTGATATCCTCACGGTTTTATATTTTCTGCGGATGCTTCTGCTCAAGGCTGTACTTGTATTTTTCTCAGAAAAAAAATCACATAACCGTTCCGTATTATGCAAGGACATCGCGAGCCATTCGATGGCTTCAGTCCCGTTCCTTTTCTCGCATTTATGCGATTCGTTCAAGAATAATCGACTCGGAAAATCGAAAATGTGAACTTCTCTGCCGGTTATTTCGTCAGGTTTTTCCTTTTTACAGAAAGAAGTTTAATAAACACAACTCGGATAGTAATAGGACCGACGTTGGGTTCTCGTTGGGTTACGATCGCGTGATTACGTTAATCGAGCGAGCAAAAACACGAGGAACAAAAATCGTATCCGACTGGTGTGCGCCTGGAGACAAACACAAAAAAGCTCCAACAGAAATTCGTGAGACAGATTAGAAAGAAAAGAAAAAAAAGAGAGAACAGCGGTGTTCAAATATGTGTGTGTGTGTACGTGTGTTAATGTGTGAAAGCTGCGACAGTCGATTTTTCTGCTTGTTAGGACGTTCAACGGCGACGACATTTCCGAGAATAATTTCGGTAAATCGCGCGACGTTCGAGTCGACGTTGAAGTGACGTAAACGAAAGCGACTGGAATATATGATGATTCGAACTCGGTTTTCGAAAAATGAATTCAGATAAAATCACGTCGCCGGAGATGGGCACGGAACGGTCGCAAACAAATCAGAATCCATCGATTATCGAAAACATTGAAATCCCGTGACGTTTTTGCAACACTCGGCACACCGGCTCGTCGCGAAAATTTCCGGAATGGAAGGTGAATCGGTGAAAACGACTCAATCAAACCAGAACTGGGCGTTCCGTTTTTTCGGTTTACCTAGATGGAAATCGTGCTCCGTGGCCCTAGACGTGTTTTATACGTGTGTTCGGGTGCTCGTAGAGTCGCACACACTGCCACGGTGTCGCACTATAATCTGCCATATCGTCGAGCTTCGATGCATCGACTCCCGGAAGGATTTTCGTGTCCGTCGAAATCTTAGGATTATCAAAGAGCAACGATAACATTGTGCTTATTCGGTCTGGAAAAAGAGAAAACGATCAGGCTTCCCGGCAACGTTCTCCTCGGGGATAATCGCACTAGCTACACACGTCGATGGGTTCAGGATCGAAAGCTCGCGAAGCGAAATGCCAGCACGATCTATACTCGACGTTGGGTACTTTCGCTCGTGCTGCGCGAAGCTCGGATCAAATACGTTCGAGCAACTAAATCTGCTTTTCCGAACGAAACTATTTACATAAAACTATGTTGCTTGCACAGAGAGAGAGAGAGAGAGAGAGAGAGAGAGAGAGACCCGGCCCACGTAATAATCGGCTCGCTTTGCTTTGCTTCCCATTGTGCGAGCTCTTCGCCCGAGTTTCTTTGTTCCGCCGCTGAGAGAAACTGGCCAATCGAAATCGCGAACTCGTATGAAACAGATAAAAGCTCGCGCGTAAAAAGCGTGAAATGCTGCTCCTAAGAGCACGTTCTCCTCCTTGATAAAATATTAAACTGTGCAACAAATTTGCCGACCGAAAGAGAGAGAGAGAGGGAGAGAAAGAGAGAAGGTTGCTTCGACTCGTTTCCCTCGTCTAAAGAATTCGGAGACATAAATTCGATTAAATTAATATTTTATTCCGACACGGTCGACTGCTCCCTTCAATTTTCCACGCGACCTATTAAATTAGCTTATCCGGCAGTCGATACATAATTTTCAGAACGGTTGTCCAGCGGAATCGGGCGGCGATAAATCAACCGTAAAATCAGCGGAATTTCAGAAAGCGGTTCCGATCGGAAAACTTGGTAATCGTTCGAACGACGAATATCCAATGCTGGGAATTGGATCTGGACTCGCAGGGTGTTACGGGGCCGGGGCATTATAATGCATCGGTCGAGAGCGAAACAAAGAGGGAATCTGTTAAGCGAGACCGATAATCCGCGGTATCAGCGGATCGATTTCCGCGGGATCGAACGTCGCGGCTCGATGTTCTCGGAATTCGTTCGAACCCGCTCGTAAAAGGAGGGACGGACGCGTAAAATCCTTTAACGGTGTGCACACGCGTCGACCGTGCGCCGCGATGGAATTTATGGCCGCGCGATTCTGTTCCAGGACGGTTCCCGGGGCTCGTAAAGCAAATTCGAGATACGTCTCGCTCGTAACTCTTCGAGAACGGCGTCGAATGGTGTTCGATTAGTCCGCTCCGAGGGAATTTCGATGATCGAATCGACCACGGGACCGTGAAATTCGGGCCGGTCTAACCTGTTGACCGGCGCCGATTTTTCGGCGTGCGAACGCGAGACAACATCTCCGGAGATGCACTCCGCCTAAACACGCTTTGTTTCGGACTATCGCGAGTGCTTTGTTCTCGCAAAGATTCGCGGCGTTTTCATTCGCCTTTTTTCATCGTAAAGAATTCTCTCGTCGACGAAATAAATTTGGTCCGTTACACGGTGACTATTATAGACGGGAGATCATTGTATTTTATTTTCACTGGGAAAACATTATTCGGTCGCCGAAACAAAACTCGCCGTTGTTCCGGCTTCCGTTAAAACGATTCGTGCGAAACGAAATTCGTGCCACGATTCGCATCGTCGACGATTCGAGAATGCTTCCGAACGGACTTCGTGAGAAACGGGTCTCGCGATCAACGCAAGCTCTGAAAGCGACGTCCAAGAAATTAGCGTGCAGCGCTATGCTCTAAACTGTTGCCAGTCTTCTTGCTCCGCGGATCAACGTTCAACGTTCCGTGGGAACGTAGGGTGCAAGCATTACGCAAGAACAGCATTAACGCGTTCTCCCCGATGAGCAGCTGAATCCGATCGTGGCTGAAATTGCGCCGTTTGAACGCGTCAAGTACACTCGGCAGAAACGTATGTTTCTTGTCAGCGATTACGTGTTGTAAGCAAACGCACGGGATGTTACGCTAAGGGATGCGATTCACGATTCACTGCGTGCAGAGTGTACCGCCTCAGAGTACCGTACACGTGTACCCAAATCAATCTGAAATTCAAAACAGTGATTCTTCGGCTACGGCTGCTGCTTCGTATTGCTTATCAAGAGAGGGGACAAGTGAGCGACGAAACAGAAAATTAAATGAACAGAAAAATAAAGAAATAAAGACAGAGAGTGTGTGAGAGAGAGAGATGATGGGGTTGACACCTAAGGGATTATGCGTGCATGCATAGTCTCAACAGATTGTATACCTGACGCTGGTCGTTCTGGTCTGACTGAGACTCGGGTATCTTTTCACCGGCTCCCTGTAGCCTTTCCTCGGACAGCAAATCCACCATCTGCAGCAGGCCGCCGCCAGGAAGCTTTCCCGAAAGTGCTTCGACATAAACCCGTAAATGATCGGATTTATGCAACTGCGAAACAAACGGATTTCGAAGAGAGATCAGAGCTCGATTACTCCGACCGAACTGTTTGCCTGTTTTGCTTATGCGTTGCTTTTGGCCGCAGAATCGCTTCTCCCGTTTCTCTAAAATCATTCTCTGTCAAAGACACGATCGAAATCACAGACTAGTTTTCGAAGGAGTCTACAATCAGAAACGTTGGCTATCGACAAGTAGCAAGACCATTAACATCGTCAACCCACATCTCGCAGACGGAAGTGGGCGAAACGCGGATCGATATTAATCGTCTGCAAATCGCCTCGTGGTTCGAAGGAAATTAATTAAGCACGTTCGCAGCTGCGCCGCTGTTCTCTGGAAACGCGTGACTTTAAATAGACACCTATTCGTACACGCTCGCGTTAATGTTCCAGCTCCTATAGAGAGTTCTATCAATATCCAAGAGAAATCGGCAAGAAAAACGGACAAATTGTGTTCAATATTCTCTTCTTTAAAGCCTACTTTTTTTTCTATAAGCGAAACTCTCTCGTACGATGCTCGATCGTCGAAACAGCGGCTTTCGAAGTTTCCTCGCGCAGCAAGTGGAATAAGTCGGACATGGTCGGACACGCGTTACATTAAAATTATTTCCAAATAAATTCAAACGTATCGTTCTCCGTACAGCAAAGCAGATGAGCCACTCTTAGACTTTAGATAGGTTTATCGTGAAATGATTCAGCGAGCAAGGATGAGTCGAAAACGCGTAAACTCGAGCAATCGTTATCCTTCGGCTAATGTTTCCCTGTATTGTTCCGTCGTCGCATAACCGCGATAATAAAGTGTCGAGTCCAAGCGAATAAAAAAACAAAGAGAACGAAGAGTCTAATAAACGCGAGGATTGCACGGTTTAACGAGACAATAAAGCTTAAAGTTCGAAGCGATCCTCGACGTCCGTACCTGTTAAAATAAGCCATCAGTTGGAAGGCGGTGTTCAGGTGCTTGTGCAAGCTACTCTTCTTGTACGGCAGATAACCGGAAGCGGTGAGGATATTGTCGATGAGGATGGGGCCCCAACAGATCACGAAGAGCACCACCACGGCCACCAGCATCTTCACTACCTGACACGGAGACAAATCAATGGATCACGCGAGTCCGAGGATACTCTAATTACCAGGGTCTCCGAGGCGAATCGTATACTCCTTTGATCCAGCAAGATGTAAGGAAGCTACAACCCATCCGAAGCCTTAATTACTTCGTGCCCATCGAGCCCGGAGACTTGGGCGGAGTTTTCAAAGGACCGTCTGTCCGTGTGGAAACGAAAACGCCATTACGAACGGAACAGCGTTTCAACGGGCGCAACAGACGCGACTTTTCATTAATTTTTCTCTTTCGGCAGAGCTTAACCCGCTTGGCCTACATCCTATTTCTCTCTGTCGGCGTTCGCGGCGTGCTATTATTATCGCTGCGCTGCAGCGAACTTTGTGCACTTATGCTCGCGGAGAATTACAAAATGCGAGATTCCGGGGAATTTAATATCGTTCCGCCGTTTAACAGGCTCCGGGATACGCGCCGTTGCCGGCTTGCGGATGTCGAATATGCACGTGTACATTTTTCCGCGGTAATCTGCAGAAATTGCAATCGAAAAGTTCGTCCGCTTGAAAGAGTCGAGCTTCGGTTAATCTGTTAATGAAAAGTTAGGTTCGTTCGGAGCATACTTTGTATCCCCGAATAAGTTTCGAAATGGTTGCGGAAACGTTTCAAATTGCGAATGAAAATAAATATGCATGAAAAATGAATATGCATGATGTTTCTTCATAGCTGAAGCACAAGATGAGTAACAAACTCTATATGTAGGACACGCGGGGGGGAGGCCTTGTGTGTCCGAGAGCGGCGTTCCAAGTGCACGACAATTACCATTTAAATGAAAGTGGCGACGATTTGTTTAGGCAAATTGCTGGGCGGTATCGGGGACTCTTACCAATTTCAACGGAGCTCTAGACTTTTCGAGCTGACGGAATTTCCACGCTGTTTCCTCTGGCTTGTTCGTTCCAATAATTTCAGTTCTATCGCTTTAACGACGCGGTAATCAACGGCCGACGATTGCAAAGGAACAATCCTCGGTTCGAGTATACCGCGATGCTGCTTAACATTACATTAAGACCATTGTGTACGGCACTTCGGGTTACGTTGAAACGATCGTACAAACGATTCGAAGATTATTATTATACAGGGTGACCAATCAGAGGCGAGATCATTTGGCGCGAGACGGCCGAGCCAATGAGCGGAACTGGGCTCCGTGCACTCGTTGGCTGGGCCGCCGCGCGCCAGCCGAGCTCGCCTCTTATTGGTCAGTGTTTTCCGTTAATAACTCGTAAACGAAGCCTCGGAGAAAATTTTCGGAAAGGAAAAAGTTGCTTCAAATACCTCAAGAACCTCCCATTTCCGGATTGCGAGACATTTTCGGGACACCCTGTATATACTCGGAGGCGAAGCGAAGCAACGATAGATCCAAGTGCACCAGTCAAAGGTTAATGCACGTATGTATAATATATCGGCATAAATTGAAGCAATTATCGGAGGGAAATGAATCGAATTTGCGGAGTTCTAAGCGAATATGCGACGCACCTGTTTCATGGTCCTGGATTCCTCTTCGGTCTGTCCGTCTTCTCTGCAAGAGCGTCTGCCGTTTCGCATGGTCTGCCGCTGGGTCATGGGTATCGACTCGGTGTCCGCGTTATTCGGGTTTAATCTGGAACACATTGTACCCGCTCGAATTAGATCCAGCGATCGGGTTTCTCACGCGAGAATCCGCGCAATCCTGTTCCACCGGCGCGGCACGGCCGCGTTCTCTCCTGCTACCCATTACCTAAATCCATTATGCGCAGGATGTTCTTTTGGAATGCTTGTAACGCGACCGACCCGCAGATGTCGCCTATCCAGGGATCGTTCCCTGGATCACGGGCCTTATCAAGGATTCAACGCGACACGATAAACCGCCCGAAATAAACGCTGCTCCATTGTATCGGGGAAAGAGACGCGAACACGATGCCGCAGTTTTGCAGCACGGTGGAACTTGCAAATTGCATCAAGCGAGATTCCGTCGTTACGGTCAACTCGGTGATCGGCTTCGTCCAAGTTTCTAACGAGCGTAATAAACGAGGATGGATCCAACCGACACACCAGGATCGATAACGAGAAGCCGAGGATCAAGGGCTCCCTTCGTGTTCCTACGATCTTCTTGGCACGATGACAAGTTTATCGAGAGCATCGCGATACCGTTCTCGAACCGCCACGAGACTAGACGATTAGCTGAATTTTTTACGCCGCGGATGATTCAGTGAATTTATCGTTTCCGGAGAACGAGCTCTCGAGGGAAAACAGAATCTTTCCTTTCGCAAAACATTCAGCTCTTCGAAATACAATTTTGGTAATAAAACTGAAAATAGAAAATCAAATTGTGTGTGTGTGTGTGTCCGTAACTGTTACCCGTTCAACCATTCTACATCATTTAAATTAGCAGCAATAAACCATTATTTCCGCCACCAGATGTTGCGATTGCTATGAGAGACTGTAATCTAGATTGTGGTAACAGCATCTGTTATTTATGTGCAACATTTAACGTTGTTGCAACTGCTATACGGAGAANCCACGCTGTTTCCTCTGGCTTGTTCGTTCCAATAATTTCAGTTCTATCGCTTTAACGACGCGGTAATCAACGGCCGACGATTGCAAAGGAACAATCCTCGGTTCGAGTATACCGCGATGCTGCTTAACATTACATTAAGACCATTGTGTACGGCACTTCGGGTTACGTTGAAACGATCGTACAAACGATTCGAAGATTATTATTATACAGGGTGACCAATCAGAGGCGAGATCATTTGGCGCGAGACGGCCGAGCCAATGAGCGGAACTGGGCTCCGTGCACTCGTTGGCTGGGCCGCCGCGCGCCAGCCGAGCTCGCCTCTTATTGGTCAGTGTTTTCCGTTAATAACTCGTAAACGAAGCCTCGGAGAAAATTTTCGGAAAGGAAAAAGTTGCTTCAAATACCTCAAGAACCTCCCATTTCCGGATTGCGAGACATTTTCGGGACACCCTGTATATACTCGGAGGCGAAGCGAAGCAACGATAGATCCAAGTGCACCAGTCAAAGGTTAATGCACGTATGTATAATATATCGGCATAAATTGAAGCAATTATCGGAGGGAAATGAATCGAATTTGCGGAGTTCTAAGCGAATATGCGACGCACCTGTTTCATGGTCCTGGATTCCTCTTCGGTCTGTCCGTCTTCTCTGCAAGAGCGTCTGCCGTTTCGCATGGTCTGCCGCTGGGTCATGGGTATCGACTCGGTGTCCGCGTTATTCGGGTTTAATCTGGAACACATTGTACCCGCTCGAATTAGATCCAGCGATCGGGTTTCTCACGCGAGAATCCGCGCAATCCTGTTCCACCGGCGCGGCACGGCCGCGTTCTCTCCTGCTACCCATTACCTAAATCCATTATGCGCAGGATGTTCTTTTGGAATGCTTGTAACGCGACCGACCCGCAGATGTCGCCTATCCAGGGATCGTTCCCTGGATCACGGGCCTTATCAAGGATTCAACGCGACACGATAAACCGCCCGAAATAAACGCTGCTCCATTGTATCGGGGAAAGAGACGCGAACACGATGCCGCAGTTTTGCAGCACGGTGGAACTTGCAAATTGCATCAAGCGAGATTCCGTCGTTACGGTCAACTCGGTGATCGGCTTCGTCCAAGTTTCTAACGAGCGTAATAAACGAGGATGGATCCAACCGACACACCAGGATCGATAACGAGAAGCCGAGGATCAAGGGCTCCCTTCGTGTTCCTACGATCTTCTTGGCACGATGACAAGTTTATCGAGAGCATCGCGATACCGTTCTCGAACCGCCACGAGACTAGACGATTAGCTGAATTTTTTACGCCGCGGATGATTCAGTGAATTTATCGTTTCCGGAGAACGAGCTCTCGAGGGAAAACAGAATCTTTCCTTTCGCAAAACATTCAGCTCTTCGAAATACAATTTTGGTAATAAAACTGAAAATAGAAAATCAAATTGTGTGTGTGTGTGTGTCCGTAACTGTTACCCGTTCAACCATTCTACATCATTTAAATTAGCAGCAATAAACCATTATTTCCGCCACCAGATGTTGCGATTGCTATGAGAGACTGTAATCTAGATTGTGGTAACAGCATCTGTTATTTATGTGCAACATTTAACGTTGTTGCAACTGCTATACGGAGAAAATATATACCTGTGTAAAGTGTTTTTAATTAAAACCGCTAGCCTGGTAGAGGAAATATAACGGAGTCATTAGTATGTACTCTACAGACAGAGGATGTCTATAAATTTACAACTGGATCATGGACCTTCAGACAGTTATAGATCTTCGTTTAATTAAAAATTCGTTTAGACCATTGAAGATCGCAAGTTTACTTCGATCCCTGCTTCTATAAACATTCATAGAAAAATCTGAAGTTACTTGGAATCCCATTAAATGGAAACAAACTCCAAAGATGTAATATTCGCAGTTTCCAAATGCTAGCAGAGATTCAATTACATCTTCCAATTCGTCTGGACATTGCGAACATCGAGATCTCTCCCCCAGAACAAAACGTTCCAAATATTTCATTCTACCCATTAATTTCTCCCATCCGATCAATAGCCATGGCAGCACGTAGCATCGATCATTCTCTCGCAGTGAAGTTCCTCGGCATTCTCCAAAAGAAACTTCCCATCATTGTAATAAGTCGATAGCAGTCCCAGCTACGTTCTCCGCGAACCAGCAATTTTTTAATCCGTCCGAAAGCAATTTCTCCATCCGACATTCGCCGGGAAACAGACTCAGACTGCTGCGATACCCGGCACTCTCCGAAACTCGAATTTTTCAAAGTCTTGCAATCTGCTCGGCCTGTTTCAGCGCAGAGTTCGCAAGGTCTTTGAAAGTTCGGTTTCAATTGGCTCTCGAGCTTCCGGGAACTGCTGTTTAGAGCCACCTGCAACTTTCTACGAGCCCGTCCCGGAGCCGAAACGATCACGGTCCGTCTCTTCCGAGAGAAATCCTGCCCTCGCAGTTGAATTTTATACGGTCCCGAAGCTTCTCTCTCCTCGTGGAGACGCGCGCCGAATCCCGAAACAAGAAAGACGAACCGGCGAAGGCGTCTCGCGGATTAAGAGAAATTTTAATATTCGCCCCGCGAAACGCTACTAGACCGCGTGACTCGCGTTAACTATGTGCTTTACAGGGCTTCGTTGTTTCTCCACGCGCTCTTAATGGCCGCGCTAATTAAAATGCAAATACCCCGCGCGAAACACCGTTCCGCGGGCTCTCACCTTCCTAATACCATTGTTTATTTCGCCGCGTTCGCCTGCCATCCCGGATGCATAATGCATCTCTCTCTCTCTCTCTCTCTCTCTCTCTCGACTAAAGGAATTATTTTGGAAAACGGTATATATATGATTCCGAAGGAAACCACCGAGACGATTCTTGGGAAGGAAATTGTACCATGTGGTGTAGAAAGCTGCCCAAAAACCGCGAAGAGCCTTCGCTTTCAAAAGTTAAGATTATTGAAATGACATTCCGGTTTGTATTTTCCGCGAGTGTTAATATTGAAACCCAGATTTCAAATTTGCCGAAAGCAATCGGCGAAACAAAAACACACAAAATATTTCTACTGGATCGTTGAAATAAAAATACGATCGCTCGAGGATGATCGCATCTCCGGAATTAGGGGAGGAAATGGCGGATGCGTGAACGGATAATCTTGCTGGCGTTAGAAAAAGGGAATCGTGTTGAGAAAATGGAATCGTCAGGCGGCGCAAATCAAAGCAATGTTCTCTTCTGAAAGACATCTGCTCAGTCGTGGAACGTCTCCTCGGGATCTCCGATTTTTCCCGATAAGTCGGTTCCCAGGAAAGTTTTCCATCATTTTCCGCACGGCTCTTGGGGCGAAACTCTGACAAGCGTAACTGATGCACTCGACCTTTCAACTCGGTACACACCGGTGTCCTTCGAGATGCGAGACTTAGTTCAGCAACACTTGAATCGATACCAGGACCGACAAAACTTACACCGGATATGCAGGATTTTCGCCGATTGATTCTTGTCCTTTACGAGTACGTTCGCGCTGCGTGGAATACTCATTAACCTTTTATCGTGTGTTTTATGCTTCTCGAAGGACTAGGACGAGATAATCCAGACCGTGGATTTTCTTCGTATTAAGATCCTCGTTAGAGCGTGCTTAAAGAAGTTATCCTTTCTTTTATAACAAGTTTCAACCCCTTTGCACCCGAGTGGCTACTCCAGAAATTTGTCTTACCATAATTCCGAACAGTTTCTAATTTTCAAGTAATTAAAACTTTGACTGCCACGATAATCGCCTCATAAATTTCGTAATAGTATTTTATTTAATCAAATTACGAGGATATAATAAAATTATGAAAATAATAACAGAAATAATAGAATAACGTACAAATTAATTTTCTAGTCAATGAAGAAGTCAAAATTATACGTACGTTATAAATCTGTACACAAGAAATTATCAAATTAATTGCAGTACGAGCAAATGCGCTTAATGTCGCATTGGTGCACGAAATGATAAAGATCGCACAGAATGATATCCTGGAGGTAAAATAGCTTCGAGGGCAAAGGGTCAAAAACCCATGACTGTACTTTTCGATGGAATTTGTCAACTCACGTGTGTCGAGACGTCATATGGTATCGGCGTTTCATGACGCGCCAGATTTCCCAGCAGATCGCCGTGTAGCAGAATGCCATGACAGTGACGGGCAAGATGAGGACGAGCACCAGCATATAGACCTCGTGAGCGAGCCACAAAAGTCCTGCATCGGAGTCCCTGACGCACCAATAAGCGATTACTCTGAGTCCCACTTCTTTGTGCGTCTGAAACGAACGGCAAATGTATCGTCAGAGAATTATTTAACAGCGAAGATCTGCATCCTATCGAAGTCTCAGAAAGCGCGGTCGTAGGAGACCGGTCGGTCTTGAATCAAGTCCGTCGAAGAAACCCGGCGAGCGAGGCCAATTAATGCGAGCAATTATAAAAACGAAAGCTGATACAGACTGGGAGTCCCGCGCACGGTTTCCGCAGGATGTATTTCACGTCGCTTCGCAGTTTTTATCGTCCGCGCAGGAAATTAACTTCGGGTTCGAGTAATGTACTGTGCGATCTCACGTATAAAACGAAGAATAGACTTTTTTCCCGTAGATAAAATTCAGAGTCCTCGAAATAGAATTTCCTGCACTAACAGCAGCACCGCGTGTAATTAGCAAGCTATCCTCGTTTAACGACTGCAAATTTTCTTCCACTTTGACACGTTGACTTGCCGCACATTTTACCCATATCGGATTAACTTAATAATTCGTCTAGATTTCGAAATGATTTTTTCGCCGACGAATAATAGGACGGCGGTTCGAAGAAGGAATACTTCTCGTTAAATAAACGACTTCAATTTCGCGAAAAGTTTGAGATTATCGAGTTGGCAGTGTTAAGTACGTAGCTCGTTTCGATATCAAAGTTTTCGAGTTCTCGCGATCGATTCTTTAAAGGAATAATTGAAAAGCGAACTACCGCGCGCGCGCGCGCGCGACAAATCCATTCCAGCGACAGGTGTTTTACGATCCAGAGGGAGGAAAGGTTTATTAAAACGTTGAAAATAGATGTGTGCTCGCGAGCACACGATTCTCCACGGTCGTATAAGATCGTTTTACAGCCGCGCGCGAGGCATTTATTTCACGAGAAGCGAAACCACAGTGTTTCATTAATTCTTTACCGTGGCCGTCAGCTGTTTAACGCCTCGGAGGAAATGTAAATTGACTTTCATTTCGTTTCGAGATTCTGTCGTTAGTTCGTCGTTGTGTCACCAAAAGGAACTCCGATGATGAACTATCTAGGAACTCGACGTACGTAACTCGGTCGAAACCACGCCGCCGACTATCTGACCGCGAAACTTGTCTTCTGTGTTCAAAATGTGCAATATCTAGGTACGACAACTATACAGTCTGGTCACGGTCCATTAACTTTGACAACCCTAGATAACAGATTTCTATTGTGCGCAGAATTCTCAAACTATTTGTGCAAGACTTAGAATTAATTAAAGGCAATTTTATTTTAGTTTTCGACCAGCGATTGTCCGTTCAACGACAGAACATTTTTCCCGATTTCCAATCTCGTTAATTAAACGCGAAATAGAGAATTCGCATAAAGGGCCGTGGTTCGATGAAAATTTATGAGAAACATACGACGTGCATGCACGAGACAGCAGAATTTAAAAGGCGGGAAATTGAAATGGACTTAATTGTTCTCCTCGTAAATATAATATATTGAATTTAATAAATTACCAGCAACGAATACACGAGCCCTGCGAAATTAAAAAATTTCATATTTCTGTCTAGTGAACGCGAGTCCTCGTAAAATGATTTCATTCGGTAGATGAATAGAATGAAATTCGTTCGATAAGTTTTGATTATATTAGAACGAGGAATGCTCGACGATCGAGGAGAGCGTGATTGGAGGAAATTAATGCTCACCTGGGTGAAAATCATCGGAATACCGAGCAGGAACGAGACCACCCAAGTTATAATCACGATCTTACGAGCCTGGCTGATTGTGCACGTGTATTGTGCTCTCATCGGATGAACTATCGCATAATATCTGAAACAGGAATGAAATTTCTAATTAGTTCGGTGTCATTACGAAGTGTCGGGTCTTATGAACTTCTAACGATATTAAGGATACTTCGGCAACTCATCAGCATTTATCGTAGGAACTACAGGATCTGATCTATAATCATAGTCGATCGGAGGGTGCACCGTTCTCGAGCAACATTTTTAATTATTTTATAAACGTTTTTCGCTGCCTGATGATCATTCATACCTTCAGGAAGAAATAAATCATACGACCACGAATCATCATGGAAATGCAAGCTTTTTAGATAACAGGTGACACAAGACTATTAAATTTAAATGATCACAGTTCGATAATGACGTTTTATGAACGCAATCAATTACAATCGAGTTATGGATTTTAATGCAAATTGAATTCGCTTCGAAACTAGATAGCGGAATCACGCAGAAGCTTGTAGCTCTCAGCTTCTTTTCACATCGAAGTCCCTTTGAATATCTGATTTGAGCTTTCTTCGGTAGCATTTCGCGCATCAGGAATGCACAAAGATATCGTAGTCCATAAAGTTGCACAACGTCTCCAGCCGAGGGATTAGAAGTTTTCACGGAGCGAATCTTTTGGATCGCGCGACAACGCGAATCCCGCGGAGGCTACGGGCTTTTTCGAAAACCTGAGATTATGGCAGGAGCGAAATGAAACGCAGAGAGAAGGGAAATATATCGAGAAAGAACGCCAAAAAAGCGCTCGGTGTAATGGCGCGAAAAATCTCCGCGAACGGTTCGCTTTACGGCCCCGGTCATTTCCGGGGCCGTTCGCACGTATCTCCTTTTTGCTCTTCGTTTGTTGGTTCCACGCCTTCGCAATTAAACGGAGAGAAGACCGACTCCGAGATTATCCGGCTTCCTTTCGACAGCCGCCGTGAATGCAAAAGCACGCGCACCGATTTACGGTCGATTGGCATGAGCGGAAACAAAAGCGTTTCGTTTCGATCCGTTTTCACTGCGGATCAAACTCTGCAAGAAACCGGTTCGGTCGTGGGTCTCATTCTCTCGTGGATGCGTCACGAGCATCCGGGTCGTAAGACGATCGCCGAACCGGGAAGAGGCTGCAGTTATCTCGGTTGTAATTGTACCGTGACGCAATCGAGGATCCCGATGCAATCAGAATATTTCCACGAGGAGAGTAGCGCAACTTCGAGCACCGCGTTAATTGATAAAACATGCAGGACGTTCTCCCTTACCAGGCGAATAATAATTCGCTTGTTTTCCCCGGCAGTCGCTCGCGACGCGGTATGAATAATCAAATTAAAAATTTGCTTACGCTTGCGGCCCGATTGCATCGAGTAAACGGCGCGAGAAGTAAGCGATTTCGGAACCGGTGCTTCGATTCGTTACCCGGGAGATTGTAAATTTTTGGAAACAGAGAAATAACTGTATCTTTTGCTCATAGCGTCGGTATTTTCTGAGAACGATCAAAGGAATTCCAGCGAAATGTAAACCACGACCACGGAGAACGGTGCGATGTCTTTCAAGGACAGTTCAGTCCCGCTGGAATCTCAAGAATTCGATGGCAGATGCAATCCGACACGCGTTCCTGTCGACGAACACGATCTCAGTCCTCGTGATCTCTTTTAAACCGACATGACACCGGTGAAACGTTCCGTCGCCGCGGAGCACGGTGAACAGGAAATGGGATAGTTTGCGAGATTTATCGTTTCATCGGGCCGCGTGCCTGTCGCGATAAACAATGGCGAGGCGTGTAAAGGGGATGCAATCGAATCAACGAGACCGAGAGAGGCGCGACGATAAGGAGCGATGCGCGATAAGGCGCGGTTCAATTTCCCCTGGAATCAAATAAATTTTAAGCATGGTCGCGCATGGTCTGGGAAACGAGCTGTTGGCTCGCGCGTCCGTGAAGGCGTCTTGGGGGCCTATTTTATCGGCTCTCTATTAAACCCAGACGTGAGCGGCAAGAGCAAACCGAAACCTCTCGGGAGAAATCATAAATCGGACGATGGTGATGGCTGGCCGCCTAGAGTCTCCAGCGACCGGTTTCTAATTGTGGAACGTCGCGACGCGACGCGGCCAACAGGGAACGTCATCTTAGAACGAATCCGAGGAGCCGGTAATTAATTTCTATCCGCTAACCACGGCAGACAAGCCGCTTTCGTTTTATCCTCCGCTATCCAGAAAACGTTCGAGACGATTATACGAATATTTCGTCGTGACAGTGACTGACGGGGGCAGCTGCGTCAAATCGAATTTATAAAGCGACGGAGGTAAAGATACAATCAAAAGTGGGTTCAAATCGTAGTGACATAAGCGATGTTCTCGAAAATACGAAGCTCTCTTAAAATGTAATCTGTACATGCCAAAATGTTAAAAGCACACAACTGAAATAAATTTATCGCTATACTGAAAATAAGACTTTTACTATATGAAATAAGTAAAGTTGCTATTAATTAACTTAGCTCCAAATTGTCTCGCAATGTATAACCCACTCTACTGTTCCGTAAAGAAATAGAAGATCCGAAAGACGATCATGCGAACATCCGAAAAATGAAACGAAAGAATGGACAGTGAAATAATTGAACAACGTCGACATCCTCGGGATAAGGCAGGAAGGTAAAAGTAAGTTTTTGGTATCCTTTAGCAACGTCCTGGACACCGGAGGTCGTGGAAAATCGTGCGAGGGAGTTTTTAGAGGCTAGATAAGGGACAGCGGGAGAAACAGTCTGTCGAAATCTTCTCCGACAAGAGAAGACAATTCGCAGGCCTTCGCGTGTCATCAGTCCCGGAGGGTGGTGGAAAACAAAGGCAACCGTATCAGCTGGAATTGCGCCAGAAGATCGAAGCCTTCAGACGAACACGTACACGCTTAGACAGTGGCCTCCACTCCTAGGGGTCGAACACTTTCCTCACGGGGAAATTGAACCGGGGACATTCGAGAAATTCGAAAGAGAATCGTGCGATGATTTTTATGCTGATTACAGTTCGCTAACGCCCGAGTCGAGTGCGGGGGGAGAAAGCTGTGTGACTTTTGCTTTAAATTTCCCTCCCTTTCGGGGGAAGCTAAAGAATATATACGGCACGATGAAAAAATACAAGGAAACGAAACGAGAGAGGACTCAGGCCATGATTAGCCTTTATCGAACGAGAATATTTCTTGGTGCATCTTCCAGCGAATCCGATCTACTTGTGATTTTTCAGACTTGTGTGATTCATATTTCAAAAACCCTATTATTCGGTAGAACACCAGAATAGTATTTAATAGAATTGACATAGAGAATATGAATTATTTTAAATTAAATTAAAATCCGATTCTTGCAGTATCGCTTCTTTAGCATGAAAGTAAATGCAGGCGTGCAATGAATAAATTTTTTCTCTCAGGAAATTACTAAGGACAAAGAAGTACGTAGCCGTGCAAATGATCATAGGATAAGGGGTTGAGAAGAACGATAAAGGAAGGACCCTTGTAGTTTAAAGAAAAGATTTCACACCTAGAGAAACGCCGGTGTAATCGAGATGTACATTGCAGGGATGACAATGCGAAAGCTTCCAGCATTTCGGAGATTGGAAAGCGCTCGTGTCCGACTAATCCAGGTCGTTTCCACTGTGGCCAGGTGCGCGGCTGCTCGTTCATCAAACCGGACTTAGTGCCGCGATATTTTCGAAGGCTATTCGATCATCGCCGAATCGAATTTTCTTTTTGCACGCGATAGATCTCTCTTTTCCGGGAAGGAGCACGCAATAACCGGACAGGAATTTATAATCCCCGACGCGCCGTTAATCCGAAACGAAAACGGAGGATACAGCCCCGGGGATAAAATTGCATCGCGATCTAAGAACTAATGGCGGCGATTCTTGATGAAGCGAGCCCTTCCGCGGAGAAAGTGCCTGCTTTCAGCGGCCCGGCCGTGGCTATAAATAAGCCGGAATCCCAGGCACACAACTCTCGTTTGCCTCCGCCAATTAAGTGAAATTATATGCGGCCGTGCGATATCTCAATCGCGGCCGCTTTTTCCCGGAAAGTAAATTGAAACTGAGAAACATCGGAAGCTCTCCGGCATCGTAACCGTGAATCTCGAAGCCTCCGCGCTTCTAACCGGCCTATCCGATCCGATGTTCTCGTGCCGCTTTTCAGAGAACTTTCAAACTTCCTCCGCTCGTTCTCTCCTTTTACTTTTCCCAGTTAGGGGACGCCTCCGCCCCTCCGAGTTCCCGCCAAATTGTTATGGAATTAGACAATTTATAGCCTATCATTATTCCAGAGTTTTGCTTTAAACTGCCCCCTCTAAACTTTCCAGGGAGATCGCTAAAAAAATGTCCGTCGTGCTTCGCTGAAATTCTGCGATGATCCGTCGAAGACGGGCTTCTTCTTTTTGTTAAAAGAAGGGTTCGCATGATATTACCAGCAGATCAATTTCGCATAGAAATATTTGACTCCGTTGACACAGCGAAATCGAATAAAGGAAAGTGTTTAAATGCATTGTCTACCTTTCTATCGACATCGCAGTCAGGGTGACAACCGAGCAGATGGCAGACACGCTCTGCATGTAGTGCACCGACTTGCATAGGAACAGACCCATGGTCCATGTGTAGGAGAACAGCTTGGCGACCTGAAACAGACACGTCACATATCTATCGTGCGCGATTCTCTGCAGTCTAGCGATCTTCTTTTAGATCGCTTCTCCACCCTAAGGTTCGCTCTACTTTTCGCCGCATTGGGATATATCGCGTCCACGGGTTTCCAATCCGAGTCCAGTCGTTAAGCAACACGTTAAGAGAACAAAACTCCAAAGACACAATGAAGCTCGCATAAAAGTGGATCGAAAAGAACGGCGGGAATGAAAGAAATACAGGAAAGCGTTCCGAGAAGCTAGCCGTGTTTCATCAACCCCTTTCGAGAACGGGAATAGCGAGCAGTTATTGAAGTAAGCTCTTTGAGGACGGTAACGAGCGGAAATACCGAGAAATCGCCGCTTCGAGCTGGCAGCTGCCACTTTCACGGCGCTGTCCACATCGCGAGGAAAATAAAAGGAGGCTAAAAGAAACGTTTCATGAAATTTCCACTTCGTTTGCGAGGTTTATGAAACTCAGACGCGTCCGAGACGATGTAAAGCGTACCCGTCGCGCCTCCCCATTCGATCGCTGCTGCAGGAGCTTTGATTTATCGTTATAGAAATACGAGAACGTGGTCGAATTAAGAGCGATTAAGGGCGAATCCACTTTACGTTTGCTGTGAAGGGACTTCTGGCAGACGAGATAAATTTCGGTCTCATCCCGAATTCTATGGAACTTCAGAAACGGGAATGGGAATGGGAGTTTGCATAGTCTGCAGTTTTATTGGACGATTCTTACAGCCGACCGAATTAACTACGCGACACACATTTATCGTTTCTTAAAATACCCAGAAATCGAGCCAGATCGTCGCTGTCTATATTAATGAAATTGTCATTCTTCTCACAGCCAGCAATCGTAGAAATCTGGACGAAAAACCGCGGTCAGGACAACGCGTCGATTCCCAAGAAGATCGAATTACAAAAATTGGCCACGATGGTGCAAAGTCCAAGAGAAGCTGGATCGTAGAAGTAACGTAAGAACATGGAGTGAATTGAACTGTTCATAAGTACATTAAAGGAAATTGCAGCTCCAGGACGCGGAGAATCAAAGAGTGTCGAAGAATCTCCGAAGTCGTTTTTCACGGAGGGAACAGCGGGGCAAGAGGAGATCGTGACTTTTCATCGGCGAAGAGAGATTCCACCGGCGAAGCCGAGGAATTAACCGGCCGATCTCAGTTTCTAATTCCGTGCAATGGGTACCCAGAGGAGCCGTCTCGCAGAGATAAGGGGACAGGCAGCACAACAGGCTTTGATACTCTGATCTCGATTGCACGAGTTACGGTGTTTCGGAAATGCCGCGGGCCGGTGCGAGTCGCTGGACGACACTGCCGGCACTAACGAAATTACCGGAAATTCTGCTCGATCGAAATTTTACGGCAATTATTGGACAATTTTCCGCCGGTTTATCCGTCGGTTTTGAGCCCCGGTGAGAAGTGATCGATCAAAATACGTCGACGTGGCAGCTGCGGAAATTATTTCCGAGCACGGAAAAACAGGAAATAATTATGCGCGCGTGTCGCCGAAAAAATGAATCGAAGCGGGAGAAATGGAATTGGGGATAAAACGTTAAATAAAATGCTCTTCGTCGAATACCAATGCATAAAATGAATACTGCGACGCGTACATTGTCGGCTCGATTGAATAGTTTTTGGTCGGTGTATTAGAAGGGAAATGCGCCGGTCGAGACGAGATCAGTCGAATGTCACAGGTTGTCGGCGAAGAGAGAGAGAGAGAGAGAGAGAGAGAGAGAGAGAGAGAGAAACGGAAGCGGATGAGCGTGGATTCAGCCGAAGCAATCAGCGCGAGTAAATAGCGAGCTATTTTCGGCATTGAATGAATGAGCTTGCATCGGCGACGGACGAATAAACGGAGACGTTTTCCGATTAATTCGCCGGAGGATGCGAGTCTTCGTGAATATTTCAAGACCTATTCCGGAAAATTGCAATCAAAAAATGTCGAGACAATAATGAATCACCGATGCGGAGGACAATTTTACAGACATCTATACGCGTCATTCACCTGTTACAAATTCTTCAGTAGCGCGAGTCGACGATAAGTCGGGCGGACGAGTAAAATACCGTTGATAAACTCGGGCTACTTATGCACGAGTAACAAAAATATATATTAAATTATGCAATATGCAGGGCAAGCGTGGATGGTTTTATTAGTTGAAGCAACAAGTTTCTCGACGCAGGGAAAGAAATTTCCACGATCAAAGAGGGATTCAGCGACTTGAAAAGCTCGAAACGAGCGCCGGTGCTGATAGCACTCGGTGCACTCAATTAGGAAATTAACGTTTGCGCGTGAATTTAATTACGCGAGAGCCGGCCTAACGTGCTGATCAACTCGCGAGCATTCTCGAGCGTCTTCTAAATCGACCGAAACGCGCGCAAATAATTTTGTTAGGCTATGTGCGAGGCTCGAGGAATTCTCTCGTCGCTCTCACGGCAATTCCCGCGGCATTGCGCGCTTTCGTGCAGCCTGCAATTGAATGAAACGACTTCGAGCGCCTCTGGTAACTCGATGAATCGCTGTCGGGCCCAAGAATACGGCTCTGTCGAGAATTTCGATGACCAAAATTTCATTATCAGTGTGTTGAACAACGAAAAATCTTTCGATTTGTCCCAGAGAAATATCGATTCCTGTACAAGATTTTGTTCAACTCGTTCAGATAGATTTAAAGTGCAACAACAAGAGGAGAAAGGCCCATTGAGCACGGATTATCGAATCAACCGCGTTCCAGACACGTTCATGTAAGCACATTGATTGAAACGAACGCCATCGGCTTGAAGTTGAAACGCAGTTACAGCGCAATGTAATTCGATTACTCTCGGAAGACTGCCGGATCATCTTGGCGAGAATTAGTTCCCGGTTTCGATGGGAAAAAGCAACTTGTCGCGACTCGATGTTAGTTCCTCGGTTAATTAAAGAAGGAAATGGAAACCTACTGAATCGAAGTATCGGGAAAACGTTACCGAAGAATGAGTTTTCAGTATTTCAATATTCTTGTAATCGGCTCCGCGAAGTCCGTATCGCGACGCCAGTCAATTGCAGGGCCCAGCTTCGATTATTTTTATAATGCACTTCGCCGAGGACAATGGAGCGATTTATTCGCGCGATTATTTCCGACTGCGCCATTGACGTTTCATTTAAGTCGCCTTCCGATTCTCATTAAGAAACTCTGCGCACGGTTGAAATAGTTTCACGCAGCTGCAGCATAAACCAAGATTGCTCGTTCTATTCCCGACCAATTAGCGTCCCCCTAATTAGCTAAACTATCGACAGCGTTGACCGAACAGATAGCTACTCACGAGATAACCGATCTAACGTGCCGATTAAGCTGGTCTATTTAGACCCCTCGAGAGGTCTTTGCGCAATTAGTACGACAATAAAATGAAACATACTCGACAGGCTATTTTAAAAATAACTGCACCATTTACTCGATGTTTAGCAACTGTCCTCCGTGTTTAACGCGTATGCAAATTAATACTATAAAACAAGATCCGAACAGCTCGAGCATTTCAACTGTTACATCGCTTATGCAAATCGTCNCAGGTTGTCGGCGAAGAGAGAGAGAGAGAGAGAGAGAGAGAGAGAGAGAGAGAGAAACGGAAGCGGATGAGCGTGGATTCAGCCGAAGCAATCAGCGCGAGTAAATAGCGAGCTATTTTCGGCATTGAATGAATGAGCTTGCATCGGCGACGGACGAATAAACGGAGACGTTTTCCGATTAATTCGCCGGAGGATGCGAGTCTTCGTGAATATTTCAAGACCTATTCCGGAAAATTGCAATCAAAAAATGTCGAGACAATAATGAATCACCGATGCGGAGGACAATTTTACAGACATCTATACGCGTCATTCACCTGTTACAAATTCTTCAGTAGCGCGAGTCGACGATAAGTCGGGCGGACGAGTAAAATACCGTTGATAAACTCGGGCTACTTATGCACGAGTAACAAAAATATATATTAAATTATGCAATATGCAGGGCAAGCGTGGATGGTTTTATTAGTTGAAGCAACAAGTTTCTCGACGCAGGGAAAGAAATTTCCACGATCAAAGAGGGATTCAGCGACTTGAAAAGCTCGAAACGAGCGCCGGTGCTGATAGCACTCGGTGCACTCAATTAGGAAATTAACGTTTGCGCGTGAATTTAATTACGCGAGAGCCGGCCTAACGTGCTGATCAACTCGCGAGCATTCTCGAGCGTCTTCTAAATCGACCGAAACGCGCGCAAATAATTTTGTTAGGCTATGTGCGAGGCTCGAGGAATTCTCTCGTCGCTCTCACGGCAATTCCCGCGGCATTGCGCGCTTTCGTGCAGCCTGCAATTGAATGAAACGACTTCGAGCGCCTCTGGTAACTCGATGAATCGCTGTCGGGCCCAAGAATACGGCTCTGTCGAGAATTTCGATGACCAAAATTTCATTATCAGTGTGTTGAACAACGAAAAATCTTTCGATTTGTCCCAGAGAAATATCGATTCCTGTACAAGATTTTGTTCAACTCGTTCAGATAGATTTAAAGTGCAACAACAAGAGGAGAAAGGCCCATTGAGCACGGATTATCGAATCAACCGCGTTCCAGACACGTTCATGTAAGCACATTGATTGAAACGAACGCCATCGGCTTGAAGTTGAAACGCAGTTACAGCGCAATGTAATTCGATTACTCTCGGAAGACTGCCGGATCATCTTGGCGAGAATTAGTTCCCGGTTTCGATGGGAAAAAGCAACTTGTCGCGACTCGATGTTAGTTCCTCGGTTAATTAAAGAAGGAAATGGAAACCTACTGAATCGAAGTATCGGGAAAACGTTACCGAAGAATGAGTTTTCAGTATTTCAATATTCTTGTAATCGGCTCCGCGAAGTCCGTATCGCGACGCCAGTCAATTGCAGGGCCCAGCTTCGATTATTTTTATAATGCACTTCGCCGAGGACAATGGAGCGATTTATTCGCGCGATTATTTCCGACTGCGCCATTGACGTTTCATT